TTGGTAAAAAGCCTCACCAATTTGCCTAGGTGACTACAGACCCAGACCCTTGGATCTTAAGAACAATGAACAATCCTCCCAATACTTGCACCCCCCTTTCCTGGGAAATGTTGGATAAAAAGCCTCACCAATTTGCATAGGTAACCACAGACCCAAACCCTTGGATCTGAGAACAATGAAAAAGCATTCAGTTTTCTTACAAGAAGACTTTTAATAGATATAGGAGTAAATAGAAGTAAAGAAATCCCCTCTGTAAAATCAGGATGGTAGATACCTTACAGGGTAATTAGATTCAAAACATAGAGAACCCCTCTAGGCAAAACCTTAAGTTACAAAAAAGATACACAGACAGAAATAGTTATTCTATTCAGCACAGTTCTTTTCTCAGCCATTTAAAGAAATCATAATCTAACGCATACCTAGCTAGATTACTTACTAAAAGTTCTAAGACTCCATTCCTGGTCTATCCCCGGCAGAAACAGCATATAGACAGACACAGACCCTTTGTTTCTCTCCGTCCTCCCAGCTTTTGAAAGTATCTTGTCTCCTCATTTGTCATTTTGGTCAGGTGCCAGCGGGGTTGCCTTTAGCTTCTTAACCCTTTACAGGTGAGAGGAGCTTTCCCCTGGCCAGGAGGGATTTCAAAGGGGTTTACCCTTCTCTTTATATTTATGACACCAGGGCTGGCGTTAGACTTGCTGGGGCCCAGGGCCGAAGCTCAAGTCCCACCGCCCAGGGCAGAAACCAAAGCCTGAGCCCCACTGCCCGGGGCCAAAGCCGAAGCCCGAGGGCATCAGCCCTGGATGGGGCTCAGGCTTTTGGCTCAAAGCATGCTCAGGAGGCAGGGTTCAGGCTTTGGCCCCCTTGCCAGGGGTGGTGGAGCTCAGGTGGGCTCAGGCTTCAGTCTACCCTCCTGGGATCATATAGTAATTTTTTTGTCAGTCGTGCGGTGCAATGAACTTTGAGAACCCCTGTTTTAGATTCAGCGCATTTGTTTGAATGTTGAAAGCTCTATCTAAGGCTTTTATATAGTTATATAGTTCCTCTCACTGTTTGTGTTTAAATGCAAAGTATTAATACTATTCCTGTGTGTTGCCAAGAGGGAGCAGAGTTGTCTTTCTCCTTTAGTCCTTTCTCTCTTCACTTTGTCCAAGCTTCAAAACTAACTTTTCCTTTATACTCTTCTTTTATCCTTGCCTCTGTATTCCATGTGACACTCCTATGCTTGGAAACCCTCCCTGGATGGTCCACCAGGCCTCCAGCCACTTTGAAGTCTCTCCTTTAGAATACATTTCTTCCAGGTTCCCTTTCAAAGAAATGTTGCAAAATACAAGATTTCTGATGCCTGCATCCAGTGGTCTGTATTCTGGATCTTTAGGATGCCTTTTTGGACTAAAGCTATCTGTGGCAAGTCTGATGTTGTGGAGGCTAGGGAAGGGGGAAAGGGGCAGTGCACTTCTTCCTATGTGTGGGAGAGCATTTTTCTGAAACAGAAATGCAGGTGCTTTGAAGCAGTGTTTTTCAGTTTGTTTTGATTGTTTCAGCTGCTCCCAATGACACAGAACTTGAGAGCTGGTTTCCTATCTCAGCTTAGTACCTGTTTCCTTATACTTAACACTGATCTGCCACAGGTTTTCAGCGGGTGGCTCTTAGTTTAAAAAAGAAAATGTGGGCATCATTGGCAGTGCTGCTTCAATGTGGCTTGCTGCCTTTTTTGGAAGCCCCTTTTTGATGAGAGAAGCTGCAGCATCTTCATTGATCAGCTACATTTTTGAACTAAAATAGGGGTGTGATCCTCCAGAAGTGCTTTTATCTCCCTCAACTAGACCAGCCAGCCAGAAGAAGCATGCTTTGAGATGATGTACATTTTATAAGTTAGAACACTGGAGAAAACAGCAACATGTGCAGATGTATTTTATGGCTCTCGGTCTCTAATTACATCAGTGCTGCCCCTTCCTTCTTGACCTCATTTCTGATTAAAACCTTGAATAGCACTTGGCTAATTGGATGAGTAGAAAAGATACTTGAAATTGGGTCAAGTCCTCTCAGAGCTGTTCTCCCTCCTCACCTCCCCCCTCCTCTCTCTGATTATTACCAGGACAAAATTACAGTATTTAATATGCCAACTCTAACGGTCTTTTCAAGGGAATGAATGAAGAGGAATTTCACAGGAGACACATGGTGTTAACATCACTGCCTATTTCTCATTCTTTCCCTGTTTGTGGTGCAGAGACAGTTTACTGCTCCCTCTCTCCTCAAAGGGACATAATGAGCACCTGGAAATGACACCCAGCCCCATTACCTAGGCTTTTCGTTGTTGAAGATGGAATTTTGGCTGCAGAGAGGAAGGACTAGTATTTAGTGGCCTGTCTCACTGGAGGACTAAATCCCCTGTTTGATTTCTAGAAAAAAACGTACTGAGACAAAATGTTAAAATACAGGGCTACTAATACAGAAGGTGGTGAAACAAACATAGAAGTACATGACAGATGTTTTCTTCAGTGCTCTGTAAGGCTTAACATTTGTCAGAGCTGTCATGGATTCCATGACTCTCTTGGTTTGTTTAGAAATAAATAAAGCCAATTCCAAGGCTTCCTGCAAGTGGCAAGATATGGCAAGACAAACAGCTGAAGAAGCTTGAGTTGGAACTGGTAAATTTAACCCCTCATTTACATGGGAGGCTAATAAATAGCAAGAGTTCAACTGTGCATTGACACCAATGCCAGACTTAGAATGCTCACTGAAAATTCACTAATAGGTCAAAGTTCTTTCTTCCTCCTGATATTGGTAAAGAAAACAAGTCTTAAGGAAACAGAGAGAGAGAGCAGGTAAACTGGGTTACTGTAAACAAAATCTGTGATCCAGCTCTTGCCAGGAGACTCCTCAGTATTGATTCTAACAAACCTCCAGGCTTGAACACTGTATTGCTGTGTGATCCCCAATGATATTAGAGGAGTTGCCATGGTGTAACAGAAAGTGGCCAAAAGAATACTCTGATTATATATGCAATAAGAGATTACTCTTATAATATATGTATGACTTCAGTGGGAGTTTTGTCTGGCTAATGAATGCAGGATTTGGTTCCAATAACCATCCCTCAGTTACCTTAGAGAAGTAAAGGTGATACACCTCCTGGGATCAACAGTTATTTACCAGAGCATTCAAATCCACTGCCTCTATAGTCCTGTTTACATTTGCACTTGCAGGATCCCTGAGTAGGTAGGCACTCTGCATGGATGTTACACTTCTGTGTACTCAAGCACGGTCATTTATAACTAAACCGTCATAACTGTTGTCACTTCTTTCTTCCCTCCTTCCAAGAAATAAACTCACCGGAGAAAATCTTTTTCCATAATGGTATGTCACCTAGCAGTAGACAAGTCATCCTGGGCCTGTCGGTCATCCTGGACCTGCTCCTACCACGGTGTATGAAATATATGAGGAGCTACTTCATACTCTCTCCATCTTTCTGTTCCTGAAATCATGGAAAAATCCATCACTGCTTTCCTTTGGTGTGCCCCTCTTAATGGGGCACACATTAGATGGTAGCATTCAGATATCTGGCATTCAGATCCTACTTTAATTCCTTGTAAGGAGACTGCTGTGTTACACTCACTCTTCAGACTGAAGTGAGTAGGCTAATGTGCAGAGGGTTCTCCAGTTAATTTAAATGGGTTAGAATCATAGAATATCAGGGTTGGAAGGGACCCCAGAAGGTCATCTAGTCCAACCCCCTGCTCGAAGCAGGACCAATTCCCAGTTAAATCATCCCAGCCAGGGCTTTGTCAAGCCTGACCTTAAAAACCTCTAAGGAAGGAGATTCTACCACCTCCCTAGGTAATGCATTCCAGTGTTTCACCACCCTCTTAGTGAAAAAGTTTTTCCTAATATCCAATCTAAACCTCCCCCACTGCAACTTGAGACCATTACTCCTCGTTCTGTCTTCTGCTACCATTGAGAACAGTCTAGAGCCATCCTCTTTGGAACCCCCTTTCAGGTAGTTGAAAGCAGCTATCAAATCCCCCTCATTCTTCTCTTCTGCAGGCGAAACAATCCCAGCTCCCTCAGCCTCTCCTCATAACTCATGTGTTCCAGACCCCTAATCATTTTTGTTGCCCTTCGCTGGACTCTCTCCAATTTATCCACATCCTTCTTGTAGTGTGGGGCCCAAAACTGGACACAGTACTCCAGATGAGGCCTCACCAATGTCGAATAGAGGGGAATGATCACGTCCCTCGACGTGCTGGCTATGCCCCTACTTATACATCCCAAAATGCCATTGGCCTTCTTGGCAACAAGGGCACACTGCTGACTCATATCCAGCTTCTCGTCCACTGTCACCCCTAGGTCCTTTTCCGCAGAACTGCTGCCTAGCCATTCGGCCCCTAGTCTGTAGCGGTGCATTGGATTCTTCCGTCCTAAATGCAGGACCCTGCACTTATCCTTATTGAACCTCATCAGATTAGTTCATTCATTGTCTAATGCCAGAATGTAATGTCCAGGAATGGTGCAAGCCTAATGATCTCTGGTTCAGATTGGAGAGCGGTTTTATTCTGCAGATCTTTAATTCTATCATTAGGGTTATAGAGGAGTCTGATACCCAGAAGGAGCTCACTATCTAAGCTTGTTGTAGACTGCTGGAGAAAACAAACACTAGCATCTGTCTATATGTTTCCACCAATAAATTCCAATAAATTAGTTGCCAGACTAAGAGTCTGTATTGGAGTTTAACTTGAGTTTTGCATTTAGCTTCCTTTTAACTTCTGACTGAAACTTTTTTTAGAAAGGTGGCAAGAATGCAGTAAACAAGATTGCCTTGTTAGGAATGGACTGGGGAACTATGAGAGTGAAGTGTATTCTGTGAAAAATGGATGCGCACACTCAAAGATTGTGTAAGAAAGTAATATTGGCAATATAACTCTCTAAACATTGCATCAATATCTCCCAGGAAATACAAACATGATAGAGAGGGTCGCAAGGACTCTGGAGGAATTATAGCCATGCAGAAGAATGATGAAAAGAAGGTTAGTAAAAATCATTCTTCAAATGTTCAAGTAGTATGAGCAGCTAGCCAAGGCTGTAAAGATATTAAAGGGCAGTGATGAAAACTTATTGACAGATGAGATTGAGATGGCTCAATGCTGGAACTGCTTTTTCTTTCTTGGTATTCATGAAGGTAGCTGAGGGTCAGATCCCTAGGTTACATTGTTCTACTGATGATAACTTCAAGGTTTCATGATTTTAAAAAAGAGCAGATTATTGGGAAATGAAGGTGGTGGTTGCCTCAGGCCTAAATGAATGACATTCCAGACTTTTTGGAAGGGAGTAATCAATCAAAACACTACCTATGCCAGACTTTTTTTATGACTTGAGAATGAGGTATTGGTACTAAACACTGGACTAGGGAGATAACTTGAATCCACATGGAAACTTCGCTATCTAGATAACTATAGAATTGTTCTAATGTTCTGTGTGAGCTGTTGGAAATGCTGATAATTTGGGAATATTGAAATGTATCACTTGGTGAAGGAGGTTTCTTGAGAGAACATTCTGGTAGGTTTTTTTTTTTTTGTTCATTGGAAAGTTTATTGCAAGTAAAACAGTGGGCATAAGGTAAGTCAGTCTTAGAAAACCATTCACTAACTTCATACACAAAAGAGAGATCCATAAAATGTGGAAGAATAGCAGTGGGGAAACACCACTACTGTCTTGGAGATAGCCAGTAGGTGGCAGAAAAGTATCTGGTAGACTACCCAAAGCGTTCGCTAGTGTTAGCCATACTTCTGGGTACTTCATATGTTTTTTTCTAAAAATTTTTGTTGATAAATTTTTTTGGTTTTATAAATTTTGGGGGTTTTTTATAGGGTGTGGGGGGGATTTTTAGGGCCTTTTTTTTTCAGATGTGGTGGGGGGCCCTTTTCGGCTTTTGCCCCGTGTTGGTGGAGGGGGCGGAGAATAAAAAAAGGGGGGTTTTGGTTGGAAAGAAGGGGGGGCGGGAGGGGGGGGGAGAGGTTTCTCGTTATAAATACAAAAAAAATAGTATGAATATGTGTTGGGGGGGTGGGTAGTACTCTTACTGTTAGAATGACTTTAACAAGTAGAAATTGGAGTTGGTAAGCTAGTATAACTTGTCTGCGTTTTTCAGCCATGGAGAGTAAATTGAGCATTCTAGAGGTGCCCATTACTGATTCTTCTTTTTTTTTTTTTTTATAAAAATAAAAGTAATAGTTTTTTTTCTTTATTTTGGTTTTAGGGGGTGTTTGGTGGTGGGGCCCGGGGGGGGGGGGAGAATGATTATTAGAGTAATCCTCCGTCACCTGCCTACTTGTTGCTTTGGCCAAGATGGAGACGAAGAAGATTTTGAAATGGATGCTGGAAAGTCAGCAGCAGCAGGCAACCCAGCAGCAGCAATTAGCAGGCCCAGGAGATAGCTTGTCAACACCAGCTCCAGATGACCCAGCAGCAGGAGCAGCAGCAGCTGCTTCGAGAGTTGGCTATCCAGCACCAGAATGCCTGATCCAGCAAATGGCTGCATTGATGTGCCCGACCGGCGCCCCAAACCCCAGCCCAGTTGGACAAGTCCCGTGGGCTCTTCCCCCAAGTCTGCCAATATGCCTGTCGAAAATGGGACTGAGTGATGACTTTGAGGCATTTTTGGTGACTTTCAAATGGGTGGCTACCGCTGCCAGGTTGCCACCAGAGCACCGGGCTCCCCTGTTAGCACCCTACCTGACGGGGCCAGCCCAGGCGGCCTCCCGGGGGCTAGACCCGCAAGACACCCTAGTATATTAGAGAGTGAAGGCTACCATCCTGGACCATTCAGGAATCAACCCCGACACATACCGATGGTGCTTCCACCAAGAAAAGTACCCGCAGGGGGCTAGACCTCTGGTGGTAGCTCAGCATCTGAGGGACAATGCCTGGTGATGGTTAGAGCCAGAGAAACAGTTGGGGGCTCAAGTAGCAGAGACCGTTGTATTGGAGCAGTTTATCCAGATCCTCCTGAGTGGAGGGAAGGAGTGGGTACAGCGGCACCAGCTGAAGGCGCGGACAGAAGCTGTAGAGCTGATGGAGGACTCCTTGATGGCTGATGGGCGGGAGATGCAACTGAGGCAACCCGGGAGTCCAAGGAGGAAGAACAAACCGGGTGAGGGGAACTCTCGCGAAATGGATTCAGGGAGATCACAGCCCCTTCCCTGGCCACCACCTAAACCCCCAACCCTCGAATGCTGGAGCCCAATCAGCTGAGCCTGGACTGACAAGGTAAATGACCCACAAGAAGGGCAGAGCCCACCGACGACAGATCCTGGGACTGGAGGAACCCAAGGCCATTGCTGGGAGTGTGGCCAAGAGGGGCACTTTCGGCAGGACTGCAGTTATGGGCAAGTCTGCATGGCTGGCACCTGAGTCCAGAGGAAAGACCCAGAAAAACTTGTAGTCCCGGTCCAAGTAGAAGGAATCCCCACAACAGCCTTAGTAGACTCAGGCAGGAGTCAGACAATTATTTGGGAGAGGCTCGTCTCCAGCCTTGAACTCTCTGGGACGAGTATACATCTACAGTGTATTCACAGAGATATACAGCCTTACCCAACTGCCTGGGTAAGACTTGAGATTTATGGCCAGGGAGAAACTCTCCAAGTCAGCGTGGCTCCCAGGCTAGCCTACCCCGTGGTGTTAGGGCAAGACTGGCCATAATTTCGGGAAATCCTGCAAGGCCACAGCCATCAACATCTGGGAGGGGGAGGTGCAGGATCAATGAGGGGGGACTCCTTGGCCACCCTGCAGAAGCTGATCCTGGAGAAGGGCTGTCTAAACCCCCGGAGCCGCTCACCGAGTCCCCTCCAGGCACAGGACACCCTGTCGAAGATGCCCAAGCGGAGTTGGAGCGTGACAGACTTCGTCCAATAGCAAAGGGAAGATCCGACTTTAAGCTGGGCCTGGGAGCAGGCAACCACCCCGACCAAGAGGGGGACGATACACCACACCCGCCTCAAAGGACCACGGTTCGAGATCCGGAGGGACCCTCTACCGGGTGGTACAAGAACGCCAAATGTGGGAAGTTATCTGACAGTGCTTGGTGCCCTGGAGATTGTGCCCGAGCCTCCTGCAGCTGGCTCACACAGTACCCTAGGCGGGGCACCTGGGTAGAGATAAGACCTTCCAGAGGATAGCACACCACTTTTTTTTTGGCCTGGCATACACCAGGAAGTAAAGGATTATTGCGCTTCCTGCCCTGAGTGCCAGTGGACTGGACCGAAAGGAGTGCCCCTCTCGTACCTCTCCCCGTCATAGGCATGCCATTTGAACGAGTTGGTATGGATCTCGTAGGGCAGGTAGAGAAGAGCGAAACAGGGAACCAGTTCATCCTCGTACTGGTCAATTATGCAACAGGCTACCCTGAGGCTACCCCCTTCCACATGGCTACGGCCCCTAACATCGCGACAGAACTAGTGAAGATTTTCGCTTCAGTTGGGATATCCAAAGAGATCCTGACTAGTCAGGGCACTAATGTGTCCTCCAAATTGATAGCTGACTTATGCCACCTCATGAACATCCGGACTTCAGTGTACCATGCACAAACTGATGGGTTAGTCGAATGCTTTAATGGAATCCTTAAGTCAATGCTCTGCAAGTTTATAGAAGATGACCCCTGACATTGGGACGCCTTATTGCCCACCTTATTGTTCGCAATGGGGAGGTCCCTCAAGCCTCCATTGGGTTCTCTCCCTTTGAGCTCCTCTAGGGGAGACAACCCCAGGGCATCCTTAGTCTCCTAAGAGAAGACTGGGAGGCACAAGAGATGTGCATCTTAGGAACTACCCATTATGTGTTATGACTCCGTGAGCATCTCCAGGCCTTAGGTGCATTCGCTTGAGAGAATTTGTTATGGGCCCAGCAAACACAGGAGCAACAATACAACAAAGGGGCTAGGTTACACGACTTTGAGCCAGGGGACCAGGTTCTACTATTATTGCCCTCCGCTGAGTCAAAGCTATTAGCCAGGTGGCAAGGCCCCTTTGAGGTGTCTCACCAGGTAGGACAAGTGGACTACGAGATCAGGCTGCTGGGTGGTGGAAGGAGGTATGCAGATACCACGTGAACTTGCTGAAAGCCTGGAAGGACCAAGAGGCTCTATTTATCAATCCTTCACCTCCTGAACCGGAATTGGGGCCATTGGTGGGCAGACCCCTGGATCCAGGACCAGTGGTAATGGGAGAGGGCCTTAGCCTCTCACAACAAGAAAAGTTACTGCGTCTCGTACAGGACTTCCAGGATGTCTTGTCAACGCGTCCAGGACAGACTGACCTCCTAAGCCATCACATTGCAACAACACTGGGGCAGAGGGTAAGAGACAACCACTGTCCTCTCCCCAGGAAAATGTGGGACACAGTACGCCAAGAATTAGAGATAATGCTTTAGATGGGAGTGGTGGAGAAATCTGGGAGCAAATGGCGAAGTCTGATCGCATTGGTCCCAAACTTAGGGGGGTCATCGACTTCTGCATTGATTTTTTTGAAAAGTCAATGCTATTTCCCAGTTCGATGTGTATCCAGTGCCTCTCATCGAAGAACTCTTCGGGCGATTAGGGGGAGCCAAATATTTTTTGACCTTGGATCTAACAAAGGGATATTGGCAGATACCCCTAACATCTAACTCCCAGGCGAAGACTGCCTTTCCTATTCCATATGGCCTCTTCCAGTTCATAACAATGCCTTTTGGACTACATGGGGCAGCCACTACCTTCCAACGATTGATTAACTGAGTACTGCAGCCTCACAACCAATAGCTGGCAGCATACATAGATGACATTGTGATTTATAGTGGCAGTTTGGAGGACCACCTTTGACACCTAACCAGTGTTTTCAAGGCCCTTTGGGAGGCGGGCCTCATGGCCAACCCCACAAAATGCCGTCTAAGGTAGGAAGAGGTGATGTACCTGGAGTATATAGTGGAAGAAGGCAAGTTACGGCCTCTGATTGATAAGGTGCAAGCTTTAGCCCAGGGGTCCCCAAACTTGGTTTGCAGCTTGTTCAGAGTAAGCCCCTGGCAGGCCATGAGACGCTATGTTTACCTGAGCGTCCGCAGGTACGGCCTCTTGCAGTTCTCAGTGGCTGTGGTTCGCCGTTCCCGGACAATGGGAGCTGCGGGAAGTGCACCGCTCTACCTGCTGCCTCAGTATAAAAGGGAGCATCCCAGCTCATTCTAAGCAGACTGCTGGAGGGGAAGGAATTTGGGGGGGGGCCCCCCCAAAAGCCCCCCCCCCCCCCCCCCGTGTTGGAGACCCTGAGAACTGGAGACCCTGAGAATCGGACCAGAGGGCTGTGGCCGACAGAATCGCAGGGAATCACCCGTGCTGAGGAGCCCGGAAACCCTGATGCTCAACGGATTACAACTCCTGGAAATGCGGTAGGAAGTGACCCAGAGAGTGGTACCTCCCACCCGAGGTCACCCTGAACATAAGAGCCGCCAGAATTGACTCTGGCCGCCAGGCCATGCTACCCTGAATGTAAGGGCTGCTGGAAGTGACTCTGGCCCCTTTCGGCGTAAAGGCGGTTGGGGGCACTGTAACAGCGGTGGTGTCACGACCCTGCCCCGTCTCGAAAGGGGGACAGGGTGTGCATACCCCATGACATGTCTTACCCCAAACCCCCTAGGATAGACATACAAACAACTCTTAAGCACATGCTTACATATGTTTTGAACCTGAGCTCGCTTGTGTGGCTGGGAGTATTGGTTAAAGCACTTGTCTTGCTTTAAGGCATGCTCCTACCTACCCATTTTGCAATGAGACTGCAACTAAAGCATGTGTAGCTGAGCTTGGTTAGGTCGCCCTCCAATGCTGTCTCACAAATCCTGGTTCCTTTATGTTCTGGCCCTTTTACTTACTCACTTGCTTCTTATACATTGAACGCTACCTGCTGGTTTATGTTCATCTGGCTAGCAATTAATCCTTCATTCCATGCAGCCTACTTCAGTTTTTTAAAGCAGTTCAGCTCTACCAAACAGCTTACAAAATGCCCATCCAGCATGCTGGTATGTGGCCAGGTTCTGCTTAATCTCTGGTGTGAGTCATACAGGAAAGCCTGGTTTTGGGAGAAGCATCTGAAACCTGTACTTGTATGAGACCACTGAAAAGGCTTGTAAAAGTGGGGATCAGGCGAACTGGTGTCCATGCAAGTAGTGCATCAAATATCTAAAAACCTTCATTAAGGCTAAGGGTGGCAACAGTAAGTCTGGCAACTCCCCATCTACCTCTCATATTACAAGAGTTGGACCAGGTGCTCGCAATCTCTGCAAGCACAGAGCCCCCAGTGCTGCATGACAGGTTTCAGAGCAGACACAGTATGATTTTTAGATCTGAGGAAGAGGAGACAGGTATGGGACTGAATGAGACACAAGAGGGAGCAGAGTCACAGGAACATGCTGGTGCATGAACCAGCCCAGGATCAGATGTGTGGCTGGATGAGCTAATAGCATCTTGGATGTATTTTCCAAGGGTCTGTTCAGGGATGAGCCTGGGAACAGTCTGCAGAGGAAGTGATACTGGACCAGGAGGTAGAGCCGCAACTAGGTAAGTGGCAGACGCCATCTTAATTATTTTGTGGGAAACTGCAGCATAATGGGAAGGATTTGTTTATTATGACCAATAACATTTTTATGGTGGAGGATATTACATGCAATGAGGTGACTCAAGTTTTAGTGGAAGTCATGATCCTTCCCTGGCTCCCCTTTGCACTCTCTCCATGTGATCCCAGATGGATTCCAAGAGGGTGGGGAAAAAAGCTAGCAATTCACTTTTACTAAATTTGTTTTAAAAAATTCAGGATTATAGGCTTAGTAAGCATGAGTGCATATTTCTGCATATAGTCCTTTCTTTGTAACTCTGTCATATCAGCAGACTGATAGAGAATTATATCATTATTTAGCCTGACAGCAGCATCCCATACAGTCTGGATTACAACTCTACATGACTCTGTTCAGTGGCCTTCTCCTGTCCATCAGATGTACACTGACCGAGCTGAGGAGAGATGGGGGGAGATCAGTTCTGCTGTTCGCAAGCCTCTGCATCCTAGTTCAGGATCCTGTTAATGTTCCCCTGAATTTTCCCCCACTCCTGACAGGTGATCATGAGATGTTCTTAAGCAGAAGAAATTCAACATGGTCAGTGAGATTTCTGGGAAGAGCAAACTTCCAGCAGCTTTCTCTGTAGCTTACTAGCCCTTTCCACTCCTTGATACTCTTTTCAGTCAGCTGGTGATGAAAAAATCTCCTTCTCATAGATGGAATTCCACCACTTGCCTGGAAAAGTTGTTCCATCCATTCTGGGACTTCCAGCAGTTGACTGTCCTATAAGGCTTTCCCAGTCTGAAATAGTGTTAGAACCAGTACTGGTAAAGGCTTCTGGTCTGATTGCCGTAACACCCACTTCCTGCCCCCCAAACCAGGGCCCAGATGTTTTTTTAAAATGAATTAAATTTGAAATTGTTACTGTAGTGTCTTTGGCAGGGACTTCCATCTCACCTGGGCTGAGGCAGCCACCCAGAGCTCTTGGGGAGAGACCCCTGAACCAGAATGGAAAAAGGAAGAGGCTCACAGAGAACCTGTTGTACGGTTTTGTGTGCCTATTGGACGAACAGTTTGGTACTCAGTGTGATTGAGGAGTGGGACAAGAGCAGGAGGAGAGATGTTGTGACTCTCTGTACCTCAAAGTAGCACCCTGGAACCCCCATATTCACCACTGTGAAATTATATGTTATGGACAAAGTATGCCTTATGAGGTATCATTTTGTAAGTCTTGATCTGTTGAACAATAGCCTGTTGGAATGTATATACTATCATTGTATGTGATGTTATGAAGTATTACTATATGTGTTACTGAACTATGTTGTGAGGTTGGGAACACCCACAACCAGCCTTTCAATTACAACGAAGCAGTAGCCATCAATAGCCAGATGGTGTTAATGGCTCATCAACAGACAATCGCGAGATGATCCCAGGGGGTGCATGGCAGTATAGTGCCGCCGGACAGCACTCCGCCATTTTTTTCTTCGGCAGCAGCTCTGCACGTCCACGGCTGGTGTTCCCCTCCGGCGGCCCGCCTGCGGCTGGTCTTCCGGTCTTCTTCCGGTGGCGGCGTGCCTGTGGCAGGTCACCCTGGGGGTGCACGGGCCAAAAAGTTTGGAGACCGCTGTCCTAGAGACTTCTCAGAGAAGCCACATATGCCATGGGGGCAGACTAACCCACACCACAGCAAAGAGCGTTTCAGCAAGATGGAAGAAAGTATAAAAAAGACAGTGACATCATCACTTGGCTTCCCCCCATCCCCAATCTCCACACTTGGAAGAACGTCTGGAGGACAAAGATTTTGAACTGGGGAAGAGTGGTTCCAGGCTGGAAGGTAGTCTGGGCCTGTGTATGAAGGAACTGTAACCTGCTTGTATCATCTGTCAGGGTGAGGAAAGCTGTATGATTCGACTCTTGTTTAGACAAAAAGTTTAGGATTTAGAAAGCATGTTTACTGTTTGTTTTCATAAGGTAACTATGCCTACCGCTTATAATCACTTCACATCTATCTTTCTGCAGTTCGTAAATCGGTTTTATATTTCGCCTAAAGTAGTGTGGTTTGATGGAAGTGCTCGGGGGACCTCCGCTCCGCTTAACAAAGCCTGTTGCACTCCCGCTAGCCTTTGGCAGAGTGGCAAACAAGGTAATAAGCTTACGTTGACCAGGCTTCTGACCAGAATAAGACAGGACAGTTCTGAGATACAAGGCTGAAGAGCTGGAGCCTCTCGCTTGGTGGTTCATGAGTGGCTGGGAGGTCATTCATGTAATTCAGTTGGGCACGTTCCTGTCTGTGGACGTCTGTGTAAGTGCAGTACGTGTCAGAGCTTTGTAGCTTAACATCAGCATCACAGTGTGAGAGGCAATACAGGTTGGTGGGATAGAGGGCTTGGTGGTCCCACAGTCCAGGTTCACCCTGGGAACCTGTCCTGGAGTCCCTGGGCGATGCTCTGGAACTGCTGCCTACGAAGCCAGTCAGGACTCTGGGGAAGTCTCCTCTCTGTGAGCAGACTGTCTTCAGGGCAAGAAGCTCACACGGCTTCCACCTTCCTGGGTCTGACCTTGGAGCATTCAGCATCCTCTGCCCCTCCCTGCGCTTCCCACAGTGAGCCTGTTCAGGCAGGGCTCCTGGGGAAGCTAGAGGGTCCTGCACCCCAACTTCGCAGTCAGACGTGACTCTTAGTCAGCCAGTAAAATAGAGGTTTATTAGACGACAGGAACATGGTCTAAACCAGGGCTTTTGGGTACAGAGAACAGGACCCCTCAGCTGGGTCCATTTTGGGGGCAGTGAGCCAGACAACCACATCTGCACTTCACTCCATGTCCCCAGCCAGCCCCAAACTGACTCCCCCTCCAGTCTGTTCTCCTCTGGGCTTTGTCCCTTTCCCGGGCCAGGAGGTCACCTGATTCCTTTGTTCTCCAACCCTTTAGCTCTCATCTTGCAGTGGGGAAGGGCCCAGGCCATCAGTGGCCGGGAAACGGGGTGTCAGCCATTTATGTACACTGGCCCTTTGCTGTGCAACAATTACACCCTCTTATCCCACCACCTGGAAACTTAAGAAATGCATAGGGGAAACTGAGGCACTCGATCAGTATTCAGAGGAAACATTAAGAACAGTCCCACTTCGTCACATCTCTCCCCCCTTCGAGACTGAACTGAGCAAGGTCACTTTAGCCATGACCTGGGGAAGTTCGAACCCACCAACGTTCCCATGGATGCCCCAGCATCTCTCCCATTCCTTGGTGGGAGTTACACAAGGCCCTTCCAGTTCTATGCCCTTCCAGTTTCATGCCCTCCCTTAGGTCAGGTGTGCTTGATGGCACTTGCAGGCTGCATATGGTTTATGCAAGGTTTATGTGGCCCATGCCCTTTTGCCACCCCAATACCCCTGGGGTTCAAACAGAGATCGGGTCTTCTCCCAGCACTCCAGTCTGGAGGCTGCAATTCGGGCTCTCTTGGTTAAGAGCCCATATAGAATCATAGAATATCAGGGTTGGAAGGGACCTCAGGAGGTCATCTAGTCCAACCCCCTGCTCAAAGCAGGACCAATCCCCAATTAAATCATCCCAGCCAGAGCTTTGTCAAGCCTGACCTTAAAAACTTCTGAGGAAGGAGATTCCACCGCCTCTCTAGGTAACGCATTCCAGTGTTTCACCACCCTCTGCGTGAAAAAGTTTTTCCTAATATCCAACCTAAACCTCCCCCACTGCAACTTGAGACCATTACTCCTTGTCCTGTCATCTTCTATTACTGAGAATAGTCTAGAACCATCCTCTTTGCAACCACCTCTCAGGTAGTTGAAAGCAGCTATCTAATCCCCCCTCATTCTTCTCTTCTGCAGACTAAACAATCCCAGTTCCCTCAGCCTCTCCTCATAAGTCAGGTGTTCCAGACCCCTAATCATTTTTGTTGCCCTTCACTGGACTCTCTCCAATTTATCCACATCCTTCTTGAAGTGTGGGGCCCAAAACTGGACACACTACTCCAGATGAGGCCACACCAATGTCGAATAGAGGGGAACGATCACGTCCCTCGATCTGCTGGCTATGCCCCTACTTATACATCCCAAAATGCCATTGGCCTTCTTGGCAACAACGGTACACTGTTGACTCATATCCAGCTTCTTGTCCACTGTCACCCCTAGGTCCTTTTCGGCAGAACTGCTGCCTAGCCATTCGGTCCCTAGTCTGTAGCGGTGCATTGGGTTCTTCCGTCCTAAGTGCAGGACCCTGCACTTATCCTTATTGAACCTCATCAGATTTCTTTTGGCCCAATCCTCCAATTTGTCTAGGTCCCTCTGTATCCTATCCCTACCTGCCACCATATCTACCACTTCTCCTACTTTAGTATCATCTGCAAATTTGCTGAGAGTGCAATCCACACCATCCTCCAGATCATTTATGAAGATATTGAACAAAACTGGCCCCAGGACCATATCTTGACCTTGGCCAGCTCTAGGCTTGGGCAGCTGCTCCCCAGGTACAACGCCTCTGCCTTACACCTTCCAGCTTTTACGGTCAGTCCTGCTTCCTTGAGGCAGGCCAGCACTCTCTTCACCTGGGACACGTGTTCCTCCCAGGTCTGGCTGAAGACAGATGTTCTTAATGTACGCCAGGGCCAAGTTCTGCACCCCCCCTCAGCTTGTCTAGAATCTCACCAGGCCTAGGCCTGGGGTAGGCATCAGACACGGTGATGGCTTTAAGCTTCCAATAGTCCCCACAGAACCAGATCGACCCGTCTATCTTGGGGACCAGCCCCACAGGTGAGGCCCATGGGCTGTTGAACGGCTGGATCACCTCTAAAGCCAGCATGCCCTTGACCTCTCTCTCCAGGTTCTGGGCTGTTTTCCCAGTGACTCTGAATGGGGGACACCTGATGGGAGGATTGGCTCCCACCTCAGGGAAGAGATCCACCTGGGGGTCTTCCCCGTTCTCTTCCCGACTGTCCCTGACCATGTGCAGGGGTCCCCTCACTCTCCTCCCATACAGCAGCTCAAAAGGGAAGAACCCGGTGGATTCCTGGGGCACTTCCCCGTACTACCGGTGGGGAAGGTACTTGTCCCAGTTCTGCGGATGCTGATTTCATAAAAAGTCCTCAGCATCATCCTCCGGGTCCCATAAAAATCTCTCCACCAGCCTGCTGGACTGAGGGTGATATGCAGAGGCCCAGGTGGGCCAGACCCCCCATTTCTCCCACAAGCCCCGGAGCAGGGTTGACGTGACATTGGACCCCTGTCTGTAAGGACCTGGCTGGGGACCATCACTCTGCTGAAGATGTTCAGCAGCGTGTCTGCCTCGGTGGAGGACAGAGCCACTGCCTCTGGGTAGTGGGTGGCGAAATCCATCACCGCCAGGATGTATTTCTTCCCTGACCGGGTCTCCTTGCTGAGGGGCCCCACTATGTCCATAGCCACCTTCTGGAAAGGCTCCTCTGTGATGGGCAGGGGTCTCAAGGGGGCTTCACCCTTATCCCGGGCCTTCCCCGCCCTCTGGCAGGGTTCGCAGGACATGCCGTGCTGCTGGGCTGCGTCACAGACTCCGGACCAGTCACAGTTCTTCAGCAGCCACTGCCTGGAGCCTGGATCCCCTGGTGTCCTGAGAGAGGGACATCGTGGGCCAGGTACAATAGCTGGCGGTGATACTTCTGGGGCACCCCCAGCTGCCTCCTGATCCCCCACAGTATTACTTCCCCTTGGGGAGCCCATTCCCGGTACAGGAATCCCTTCTCCCACAGGAATCTTTCCCTGCAGCCTTCCCCAAGGGGGTTTGCAGCGCTGTGGCCAGCAAGTTCCCTCAGCTACTCCAAGGAGGGATCCTTCTGCAGCTGGATCTGGAATTCAGCTGCTGGGGAAGGGAGTGGGACCTGTTCCCCCTCGCTGGCTAGGCCTGGGGTCACAGCCCCGCTCCCTCCCTGCCGTGGACTCACTTCCCACAGCGCCTCTGGACCAGGCAAACCTGGTTGGCAGTCGTCCTGCCCTGCCTGTGGGTCCCCCCATTCAGCTGGGGTCTTCTCTCCCCCACTTGCTCAGCAGTGCCCTTGCTGTCCCAGTGGGGGCAGGCAGCAAGCTCTCTGCTCTCCTTACAGCATCAGAGCCAGTGTAAGCCCCCTCTCGGGTGTGCAGGGGGGCAGGGAACATCTTTGTCCCACCCAGCCCCAGGGGTCTGGTGGCAGGCAGGTAGCCTAAGCCTAGCAATTCCTACCCGCTGCCAGCCAGGTCATCTGCATTTTCACTGACCATTTCCCTCTCAGCCGATTGGTTCCCTAGATTCAAATTCAAACCCTCGGCCGTTACAGGAGCAGGGCCTGGATCCTGTCCCAAAGAGACACAGTCACCCCCCAACAGGGTCTCACAGCTGATATCCTGGAGAACCCCAATGACCAGCCTGCCTGACCCTCCTGTGTCTGCACAGGGATCTGGGCCATAGGCAGGGCGAGGGGCTTCATCCCTGGGACCTTCACCCAGCTCACACAGCCCCTCAGCATCTGGTGGGGGTGCACCACCCAGGGCCTGGCAACCATTCTCTCTGTCCCAGGATCTCGCCACCCCAGGAATGTCTCCCCATTGACCATCACCTTCCGCTCCCACTGGGGGTCCGAGGGCCTGACCCAGGAAACTCCACACAGACATATAGGATGGGACCAGGACTGGGAGCCTGTCCATCTCCCCACCCATCTGGCTGACGGAGTCCATGGCCTTGGGACCCAGCAAGGGAGCTAGACACCGGGGCTTTTCTGCAGAGTCCCCCTGGTTCAAATCACCAGCCTGCTCAAAGGCAGTGAGGTGGGCATCCACATCCTCCCCCCTCTCCCCCCTTAACCAGGGGCAGCAATTCAGTCTCAAGGTTCCCTGCGGAACTGGCCCCCCGGGATCTATCACCACTCACC